TTGAGTTTGGGAATGGGATTTAGACTTCTAGAACATATATTTAAGTGTCCTAAATTAATTAGGAACCCCTTTGATAGCTGGAACATAAGTAGGAAAAGATTAGGATTGACTAAGTCAAAATAAGGAGGTTTGACTCGTGTTTCCTTCTTTGTAGCTGATTCCTTTTCTTCCAAGTCTTCAATTAATTTCTTCCATCTCTTTAACAGATTCCTAGCCTCCTTTGGTCTTCAATTTCGTCCATCCACCTTGCTCCAAGCATGTGCTAATCATTTCAAGCCCAAAACTGCTCCAAATTGCACTTTCTTGCCATTTTAGCCAATTGGACCTACAAACACACGAAAATAGCTTAAATCACTAAAATAACTAAGAACTAACAACATAAATGCAAGGAAATAACCTAACTAAGTCACATAAATATGCTTCTATCAGGATCTTCAAAAAGTTTAGAGCTATGGTTGAACTGCAATCTAGTTATTTCCTAAAGAAATGGAGAAGTGATAGAGGTGGAGAATTCACTTCCACTAAGTTTAATTCATTTTGTGAATCAATTGGGATGGAAAGACAACTCACTGTGTCCTATACTCCATAGCAAAACAGAGTGGCGGAAAGGAAGAATAGGACAGTAGTGGAAATGGCCAAAAGCATGCTGCACGAGAAATGACTGCCTTACAAACTATGGGGAGAGGCAATCAACATTGCAATCTACTTATTGAACAGATGTCCTGCAAGTGCATTAGACAATGTCACACCATTCAAAGCCTATAATGGAAGAAGACTAGGGATTAAGCATCTCAAGGTATTTGGTGCTATATGTTATTCACTAATACTTGGAGATTTGAGACATAAGCTGGAAACATCAAGTGTAAAAGGAATCTTTATAGGATATAGAGCCTATGAGAAGGGATATAGAATTCTAAATCCAACTACCATGAAGGTGATTGTGTCTAGAGATGTAGTGTTTGATGAGAATGGGAGATGGAATTGGGAAGAAAAGAAAGTGAGGGAAATCTGTGTTCCTCTAATTCCACCTGAGTTTAGAGAAATAGATGTTAATGAAGTTGGAGAGTCTTCTAGGATATCATCTCTTATTTCTTATGAAATATCAAGTGCTAGGGGTGCAAGTGTACAAATACACCCTGTGGATACAGAAGCATTTGACTCAACTCTTTTGAAAAGGAGAAATCTAAGTGAAGTATATGAACACTGCAATCTGTGCATTATTGAACTTGAGTGCTTTGATGATGCTGCACAAGATGAAGCTCAGAAGGTTGCAATGCAAGATGAAATCAATATGATAGAGAAGAATCAGACTTGGAAGTTGGTAAATAGACCACTTGCACTTGACAAACCAATAATTAAGGTAAAGTGGGTATACAAGACAAAGCTAAATCTAGATGGATCGGTGCAGAAAAACAAAGCAAGGTTGGTGGCCAAGGGATATGCACAAAAGCCTGGTGTGGATTACAACAAGACAGTTGCACCTGTTGCAAGGTTGGATACTGTAAGAACATTGGTTGCTCTAGCTGCAAAGAACAATTGGCAACTATTTCAACTAGATGTTACGTCTGCTTTCTTGAATGGTGTACTTCAAGAAGAAGTGTATGTGGATCAACCAAATGGGTTTATTGTACAAAGAGAACAAGACAAGGTGTACAAGCTACACAAAGCTCTTTATGGACTAAATCAAGCACCAAGGGCTTGGTACAGTGAAATTGATGCTTATTTTGAAGATTGTGGATTCAAGAAGAGTGACAGTGAAGCAACTTTGTATACAAAAGGAAATAAGGCTGAAGGAATGTTCATTGTGTCAATTTATGTTGATGATATCATTTATACTGGCAATAATATTGAAATGATAGAAGAATTCAAGGCTAATATGATGCATAACTATGAAATGACAGATTTGGGTTTGCTACACCATTTTCTTGGAATAGGGGTTATGCAAACTGAAAGTAGCATTTTCATTCATCAAAAGAAGTATACTACTTCCCTACTTAAGAAATTTGGATTACATGATTGTAAACCTATTAGTATCCTACTCATTCCAGGTGATAAACTGAGAAAGGATGATGATAGTGGAGCTGTAGATATAGCATAGTTCAGAAAAATTGTTGGCAGTTTGTTGTATCTTACTGCAACTAGGCTAGATATCATGTATGCTTCTTGCTTATTAGCAAGGTTTATGCACTGTGCAACTAATAAGCACCATGGAACTGCTAAAAAGGTGCTGAAGTATGATGAGTCCATATTATACCATATATTTTACCCTAATCTTAGTATTAATTTATTGGTTATTTTGGTACAATTTTGATACTTTGTTATATATTTCTAATGTAGGACATTCGACTTCCTCTGGAGCAAAACGTGATCAAACAAATGAATTTTAGAGTGATTCCAATTGGACGATGTTCGTGTGCCTTCAAGATGATTGTGTCAAAATTCCAAATTTTTCTACTAGGCCGTTTGACCGTGGCGATGAAATTAAGGCCCGGCACGCAGCTTTCCCGGATTGACGTTTCTGAACATTTTGGGTATTTTGGAGGTCAAGATGGCGTATTTTGAGGAAGATTCCTTCCGAGGATTTGTAGAGGACATCTTCAGCTTTAAAAATAGACCTTTTGGACAAAATCAGAGTTGATTTGGTCGGTCAAAAAACTAATTTTTTGAGAACTCTGAATTCTAGTTCAAATAGGAAACCTTTTATTTTCTGTTTTATTATTTTATTATGTTTCCTAGTTTTATTCTAAGACCTTTTGCTAGGAGAATTTTAATTAGAGTAGTATAAATAAGGCTTGTTAGCCATTAGGGTTCTCTACGCAACATTGGAGGAGAATATACACACTACTCTAGAGGATTTTTGAAGTTTATTTTCTAGGTGTTTTCTATCCTTTTTCTATTTCAATAAAATTCCTTGTGTTTTATGGTTGTTAGTAACTAGTTTCGTTTGCTAGGGTGATGCCTTGAGCCTTAGCATGAATATGTAGTTTTTATTTAATTGCTTATGATATTATGCATGCATGCTTTGAATTATTAATCATTGTGCTTTAAACTGTCTCTATATCTTAATGCTTGGCTACCATTAGCATGTTTAAATAAGTAATTGGATGCAATTCAGTTGGAATGCTATCGGGGAATTGAGTATTGCTTCTTGTGATTGATAGTTGTAAGTTCACCTAGGGCGAATGCCACGTTGTAGGGGTTGCATGGTTTTTCAAAGGGTTTTCACAAAGTGTAATGAGTCATGCATGTTTATATTTGATCTGAATGCCATAGACGGATTGCATGTTTGATATATGTTCTAGCTTGAATGTGACAAGTAGAATATGCATAAGGAAAACCTAACCTTCAAAATTGCATGTGTAATTCATAAATGATTGATAAATCTATATAGGATTGTTAAGGGGACGGCGGAACCCTAGGCTTTTACAATTTGGTTTTCAAAACGTTTTCTTTTGTTTTCTTTTCTTTGTCAATTTATTTAATTGTTTAATTTAAAATTTGTTTTTAATATTATAGGTCATAAAATCAACCTCTTCCAAAACTTTGTTTTCAAATAATTAATTAAGATTTGGTATTTACATAAATTATTCATTAAATCTCTATGGAAACAACCTTGCTTGAGCCGTTTATACTACAACTAACTTGTTCTCTTGCAAGTATTTTTAAATGTTTTTATCCCTACTTTGGCAGGTGGTAAAAATCCTATCAAGAAATTGGCGCCGTTGCCGGGAATCGAACCCGGATCACCCGCGTGACAGGCGAGAATACTTACCACTATACTACAAGGAACCTTAGACTATGGTTTGGAGTACAAGAAAGGTCAAGATGCAATGTTGTTTGGATTCTGTGACAGTGACTGGAGTGGATCCGAAGATAATATGAGAAGCACTTCAGGATATGCATTCATTTTCGGAAGTGGAGTATTTTCTTGGTCCTCATTCAAGCAACATCATGTTGCATTATCCACGGTTGAAGTAGAGTACATTGGTGTAGCAGAAGCTATTGCACAAGCAACTTGGTTAAGGTTTGTGTTGGAGGATTTTGGTGAAACACAAACTGTGGCAACTCCTTTGAATTGTGATAGCACCTCTACCATTGCAATCACCAAGAACCCCATTTTTCACCAAAAAACTAAGCACATCAACCGAATGTATCATTTTATCAAGGAGGCTTTTCAAAATGGAATCATTGATTTGGTGTACTGTCTAATAAAAGATCAGGTAGCAGACATATTCACAAAGGCACTGGCCAAGGAGCAATTTTGTCATCTCAGAGAGCAATTGGGAGTAAGACCAGTTCACAATTTAGGGCGAGTGTTAATGTGTAAATTGATGAATTGATTAATGAGGATTACAAGTTTGATTAGTGTTGTGTCTTAGCTCATCGGCTAAGATTGAGTGATCAAATTGTAATGTGTTAGTTAAGTCTCATATGGTTTGATAGTGGACAAGTGTCTTATTCCAAGTAGAGTATGAAATGGATGGCTAAGATTGAATTGAGGATTTGTTTGTCTCTCTCTCTCTCTCTCCTTCAACGGTTATTTTGTTGATGTGTGAGCTCACATGCTCAGTGAGCACATTTACCTGAATATATGGAAGAATTTGCAGGGTAACATTCTCTGAATTTTTCTGATTGAAATTCTTAGCTTCTCTTCTTCTTCTTGCCTGAGAGTTCTACATTTCATTCCTAATCGCTAACAAAACTAGCATAAAAAACCCACATAGACAGACATGAGCACTTGTGTTCGAGTTTTGTTTTGCTCATTGTCCAACGTTTTTTAGTAACATTTTGCTATCTGAGTTGAGTGTTTGATTACCAACATATAACAAGACGACTTGGGTGCGTTCTCATTTTGGTTCAGCTTTTCAGTCACATGGCTCAATGGAATGTGTAAATATGGTATGAAAAAATATTGCAAATCCTAAACCCTTGATGAGTGTTCTTACTTGAATGAAACTACATTCAACAAAAAATTGATTGCGGCACATCAGCCCTCTCAATGAACAAATATTTATATATATTAGACTCGGAAAATTCAGACCCTCACAAAATCTATGGTCATTAGCATTGCAACTAAATTTTGCCCTATTTTTAGCTGTTCACACCACTAAATTATTATCATATTGGTAGCCATCTGTATTGAAGTTCATAAGTTACTGAAATACGCCAGAAGAGCCGTTAGCCATTTCCCTGACCATTGTTTTAACAAACAGCTCCCCTGCCCTGTACGAGGACCGGACCTGAAAAATTAGTAGATGCAAAGATTTTTCATCAAGAATGGTAAAACTAGGTTACTGCATTCAATTAAGAATCGTAACGAAAGATAATCCACAGTATCTATAAAACTGAGACGTTAATGAAGATCTTACCAAGGGCCCACTGGCTACATAACGAAATCCAATAGACTCCCCATATTCCTTCCAGAAAACGAATTTCTCAGGCGAGACATATTCTTTGACAGTCAAATGTAATGGAGTTGGCTGCAGCAATTTAAAATCAAAATCTTTACCATAAAATTCTACGGGAATAACTTAGTCTCGGTTGATGATTGCCTCAGAAACAGTAAAGTGGATCACTTATGGAAAATATTAACCATAATGGGTAAATAGGACCAGATTACAGCCATTTTTCAAGCATACAACAAGAAGAGACTGTCAACAATCCAAGTCTAACTTTGGAAACTCAAAGACATCAGCCTAACAATCTGTAATTGCCAATGTATTTTCATGAAATACTCAAAGCCAAATACACAAAAGCTATGCACATTCAACTAACCTGTAAATATTGCCCAAGCGTCAAAATATCAACATCTATAGCCCTTAAATCAGCCATGGCTTCCTTCAACTCATCGTCTGTTTCTCCCAGGCCCAGCATTATAGAAGTTTTTGTTATCATCCCCCTTTTGCTTTGTTTTGCATGTCTTAGAACAGATAAGCTTTGCTCATACCTACATGACACATTAAACAAACAATTTAAAGTAGCAGCAGTGATCACAATTTTAGAACAAGAAGTACCAATCCAGAAAGCATACGATGAACTAGGTTGATGCTCTTAGGATGGGTTGGATTGGATGACTTCAGAAAGAGAACAACCAAGTTTTTGCTGGATTGGATAACTTAAGGATGATTTAATGGGATTGGATAACTTTTGGATGGTTGGATTTGATTGTGGATAACTCATTCGATTCAAGATATGTTCGAAGGAAGAAATGTAGGCCAAAAAATATATTACACATCAAGTTATCAGAACAAGTAAGGGAATTAGGTAATGTATGGCAAGCTTAACAAGCATGCCTAAAAAGTTAAATATACGACCAGAAATGCAGAAGCAAAAATATATAACCAAAAGGCTTTGGAGAAAAGATATAAAAGTAAAAAATAAAGATAATGCGGAGTACGACTTACCCAGCCCGAGGGTCTCTGACAATTCGTTGTAGTCGTTTGACGGTCTCAATGTTGTGTGCAAAAACATCAAGTCCGGAGTACAGCAGAGTGTGTACAGCCGTCAAGTCACCACGAAAGTCAGAAGTTAAACACTCAACCATGATATCAGGCTTCAGATTCTGCAGTTGAAGATGAGTTGGTAAAACTTTACACCAAACTAATGGATGTATAACAATCAAGGCAGGGGCAGTCTTATTAGGTTGTCTATTTTGCAATGCTTTTGAAGTTAACAGTCAGATCAGACTCTGCACATAAAAAATACATACATGCACAGGCAGGCAAGATTAAAACCTTGTTGAAAAATGAAAATGAAAAAGTTAGGGAAGGGACCTTGAGGGCTTGGACAGTAAGAGCAAAATGACCACTTCCACCATCTGGCAGGTCATCACGATCGACACTCGTTAAAACAATATAATCAACACCCCAGCTGGCAACGGCCATAGCAGTGTTGATAGGCTCCATGGGATCAGGAGGTGGAGGGTTCCGACTGGTCTTGACAGCACAGAACCGACAGCCACGGGTGCAGGTGTCGCCCAGAAGCATGATGGTGGCAGTGGAAATGCCATCCCCACCACCATTCCAACACTCGCCAATGTTAGGGCATTGGGCCTCCTCACACACCGTCTTCAGATTCAAACGGGACAAGGACTCCTTGACCTCCGCATACTTGTTTCCCTGGGGGGCTTTCTGCCTTAACCATTCCGCCTTCTTCACATTTGGGTCTCTCCCCGTGTAAGGTCCCATTCCGATTTCTGTTCCAGTTCCCCCCGCCACCACCTCACATCGTATTCCTACTCGTCCTGATGATCGCACATTTAAGGATCGTGTTGACGCACATATTCGGCCTTTTGGGACCTCAATTGGGATTGGCCAAGACCAAGATGATGAGGAAACTTGGGATTGCAGCTGAATTATCGTGCTCATCTTCAATTCTTCAATTTCTTATCTAGATTATCAAGATTTCAACCCACCAATCCAATCAAGGAGTTTATGAGTTTGGACTCACTATTTTTCAACAGCAACTACAAGGTGAAGGTGAAGGTGAAGGTGAAGGTGAAGGAGGAAGTGCTTGTTATTGCGGTTGATTACTATGGTTCTCACTTTTAGTCTTCATCATGCCTTCTAAACAAAAAACAATTTAAATTTAGAACAATGTTATATACAATCTGCATTGAAGCTCCCTAGCTTTTGTGAGCCATATTAAGCTAGCGTCACAAGAGAACCTAAATTCATTAACAACATTTCACATTACTCCAAGAATTACCAATTTTCATATGACAACCAAATCAACATCTAGACACTTGTATAAATTTAGTAGAAATTAATATATAAGAACCTATGATAGTCTTGGGCTAAGAACCACCTTACATAAATAATCAGAATTTTGGATTAGCCTCATAATATTGTTTGCACAAGAAAATCTTTAAAAATTTTGGATTAGCCTCATAATATTGTTTGCACAAGAAAATCTTTAAAAGCACAACTTCTAACCTAACTACTATACTCAGCTTCTTGAGAGTGCAGATAAAACTAAGCCAAGAAGCAAAAGAGTGGGGACGAGGGAGAAGAATTCACCTTTAGGCCCCGTTTGGTATAGAGGACTGACTTTGATAATCCGCTAACTTAAAGGCATATTTAAGGTACAGAAAATGTTTTCACATTTTAAGGAGATTAGAATGGGATTAGACATGACGAAAACTTCTCCCTTCTAATCCTATCCTACCATTTTTGGGAAGATTGAAATTGATAAATTTTCTTCTTGAGTAATCCATCTCCTACCACTACGTTGGTCACCAGTACCTTAAAATAGTGTCTTCTCCATTCCAATGCCAGCCCTTCATACTAAACGATACCTTAATTACCAATTTTCATATGACAGCCAAATCAACCAGCGAATCATATACATGCATATATAGTTATAGGGCATCTTTAGTTCCGGTCCTGATTAACTAAAATTTTAAATTGAAACTTTATTAATTTGAATACTTTTTTTTTTGAAGAAGAAGAAATTAATTTGAATACTTTGATTGAAGGACAAAATGTTAAATTCTGTATTAATTAAGAAATTTAATAACAAAAATTATTAAATCCTTCCTAAAATGATGCCAAGATTAAATATATGAAATACGGATTTTTAATTTTTTTTTTTTTTTTCTCAGATTTGAATTGTGCGAAATCTTATCTGATTTTTATAGTTCTTAAAAAAATGATTTATTTTTATTTTTAATTATTGGCACGTTTTAATAAAAAAAAATGATGCATTATAAAATATGGGTACATTAGAAATAAAAAATGTGAATAAATTTTACATTAAGAAAATGGGTACATTTTGCATATATATATAAAACCTGGTACATTATAAATACGTTATGGTTACAGATAAAAAATTAAAAAAAATTACGTGTATAAATAAAAGTTTTAAAATATGGGCACAGAAAAAAAATTAAATATATGGGTACAATCAAACTAAAATGAAAATTGGTACATATTAGAAGTTGCAAATTAAAAAATGGGTACAAAATAAAAATAGAAATATATGATACAAAATTTAACTATAAATATATTTATATCGAAGATAACGTTTTTAACTCTAAATGAATCTAATTATAAATTTAAATATGCTGACATATAAATACTTCATTATCAAAATACTGACCTTATCAAAAATTGAAAAAAAAATTAATGAAGAATGAGAACCTAAGTTAATATATATATATATATATATATATATACACACACACACAGAGGAAGTGTTATTAGCATTCCAAAAATATTATTTTACACTTCTCGAAAGTTTATTTTTCTTTTCTAATATAAAAAGTTTAGAGTGTAGATTGAGATTTTTAGAGTACTAGTAACAATTTCCTCTATATATATATTTATATATTTTTTCTAGGTTATACATGGTATCTTCGAATTTCCATTTCGCCAAATTGGCTCTCTTTGGCGTTTCATGGGAAAACAAGAGAAATTCATGTAGAGCAAATTGACTCAACGAACTTGAATTACAGAATATTTATAATGCAAGCGAAGAAGAATACCTAGGGAGATAGTTGACGGCCATTTCGAGAGGGGGAGCGATGGTTGCGCCGCTGCAAAGTTCGTGGCGGCACAGAGGAGGCGGCGATGATCTCTGAGAGAGAAAGGAAAGACTTAAAAGCAAGCGGTCCAGTTGCAGGTTTTTGTAAACTTGTTCCCCTTGAAACCTCCGCCATTTGTCGATTGATTTTTTTATTTGTTTATTTTTTTGGATTGGTTTGTTGGGTTGGTACACTTACTTTTGGTACTGTTATTTTCTTCTTAACAACAAAACTGTTGTTGGCATTTGACAAAAAAATACTCATCGTCCCTCAAAATAAAAAATAAAAAAATTAAGATTGGTTGGGACAAAGTCATCATCCCTAAAAAAAAAGTTACATGCGGTAATTTTGTCGTGAAATTGAAGATACGTGTGCAGTGAAATAATGCAAATAGGATAAAATATTTATCAAGCTCGTCAAGTGTGCCTATATCCTCATGACAACGGTATTTTCTTTTACTATTTAAAAATAATAGGAATACAAAATAACCTATGACTATTTTCTTTCTTCTCTTCAACCTGACTCACTGGAAGGCCTGGTAATTATTGACCCGACATGAAATTAATAGATGTTTAAGTCGATACAATAACAAATCGGATCGTTATCGGATAACCCGATAAGCACTTGTTAAGATAACGGATTGGCTCAGGTATACACGTAGATAACACAATACACGATAAGCAAAATATTAATTTTATAATTTTATAACCCTAAAAAAATATTATAATAATTATATATATTAATTTAACAATTTTATACACCTAAAAACTACAATAATTATATATATATATATATATATTAAATATTAAAAATTGGTGACCATTGCATCGACTTAAATATACATATCATTCAATTTCTTAAGTGTTATACGTACAAAATAAATAAATTTAAATCTACTCAATAAATATATATATATATATATATATATAGACACCGTTGAACTTGATGGATACGAATTCTACGAAACTAAGTCAAATTTGCTTATATATGTATCAAGATTGCATTAGCAAAAAATTGCAAAAACCAAACATTCAAAGATCAAGTAACTGGACAAAACTTTTCGACGGTTATTAATGAAAAATCACGATTTAACGGTTATTTTAACTCCGATTTTGATGATTTTTTACAACTACACTCCTTGACCTTATATGAATACAATGAATAAACTCGATCTTCAATTTAAAATACTTACACAAGTGAATACTACAAAATCTTATGTTATACTTAATAAAAGTATAAATAAACTCTTAAGTATTAGTGATTTTTTTTTTATGGGATACGCATTCTACGAAATTAGTTTCAACGATCCAACCATCAAACTTGTTTCTATATACTTCAAGATTGCATACACTAAAAATTGTAAAAAACAAACATTCAGATATCAAGTAACAGGATAAAACTTTTCGACGGTTATTAACGAAAAATCACAATTTAATGGTTATTTTAACTCTGATTTTGATGATTTTTTATAGTTACACTCATTGACCCTATATGAATATAATGAATGAACTTGATCTTCAATTTAACATATTTACACTAGTGGATACCACAAAATCTTATGTTATACTTAATGAAAGTATAAATAAACTCTTAAGTGTTAGTAAATCTATTGTTTTGATGGGATATGCATTCTACGAAACTAGTTTCAACGATCCAGCTATCAATGATGCTTGTATATGTTTCGAGATCGCATATGCCAAAAATTCCAAAAAACAAACATTCAGAGATCAAGTAACGGGATAAACTTTTTCGACGGTTATCAACGAAAAATCACGATTTAACGGTTATTTTAACTCCAATTTTGATGATTTTTTACAGCTACACTCCTTGATCCTATATGAATATAATGAATGAACTTGATCTTCAATTTAAAATATTTACACTAGTGGATACCACAAAATATTATGTTATACTTAATGAAAGTATGAATAAACTCTTAAGTATTAGTGAATTTATCATTTTGATGGGATATGCATTCTACAAAACTAATTTCAACGATCCAACCGTCAAACTTATTTGTATATGCTCCGAGATTACATGTGCTAAAAATCACAAAAAAAAAAACATTCAAAGATCAAGTAGGACAAAACTTTTCGACTGTTATCAATGAAAAATAACGATTTAACGGTTATTTTAACTCCGATTTTGATGATTTTTTACAGCTACACTCCTTGACCCTATATGAATACAATGAATGAACTCGATCTTCAATTTAAAATATTTACACTAGTAGATACCACAAAATACTTAATGAAAGTATAAACAAATTCTTAAGTGTTAGTGAATCTATTGTTTTAATGGGATACGCATTCACGAAACTAGTTTCAACAATCCAACCATCAAACATGTTTGTATATACTTCGAAATCGCATATGCCAAAAATTGCAAAAAGGAAACATTCAGAGATCAAGTAACAGAAGAAAACTTTTCGACGGTTATCAATGAAAAATCACGATTTAATGGTTATTTTAACTCTGATTTTGATGATTTTTTTACAGCTACACTCCTTAACCCTATACGAATACACTGAATTAATCGATCTTCAATTTAAAATATTTACACTTGTGGATACCACAAAATCTTATGTTATACTTAATGAAAGTATGAATAAACTCTTAAGTGTCAGTGAATCTATTATTTTGATGGGATACACATTCTACGAAATTAGTTTCAACGATCCAACCGTCAAACTTGTTTGTATATACTTCGAGATCTCATACGCCAAAAATTACAAAAAACAAACATTCAAATATCAAGTAACGGGACAAAACTTTTTGGCGGTTATCAACGAAAAATCACGATTTAACGGTTATTTTAACTTCGATGTTAATGATTTTTTATAACTACACTCCTTGACCCTATATGAATACAATGAATGAACTCGATTTTCAATTTAAAATATTTATACTAGTGGATTACACAAAATCTTATGTTATACTTAATGAAAGTACTAATAAACTAGTAAGTGTTAGTGAATTTATTGTTTTGATGGGATACGCATTCTATGAAACTAGTTTCAACGATCCAACCGTCAAACATGTTTGTATATGCTTCAAGATCGCATATGCTAAAAATTGCAAAAAATAAACATTCAGAGATAAAGGAACGGGACAAAACTTTTCGACGGTTATCTATGAAAAATCATGATTTAACGGTTATTTTAACTCCGCTTTTGATGATTTTTTTACAGATCCGCTCCTTGACCCTATATGAATATAATGAATGAACTCGATCTTCAATTTAAAATATTTACACTAGTGGATATTACAAAATTTTACGTTATACTTAATGAAAGTATGAATAAACTATCAAGTGTTAGTGAATTTATCATTTTGATGAGATACACATTTTACGAAACTAATTTCAATGATCCAACTGTCAAACTTGTTTGTATATGCTTCAAGATCGCATACGCTAAAAATCACAAAAAACAAACATTCAAAGATCAAGTAACGGGACAAAACTTTTCGATGGTTATCAACGAAAAATCACGATTTAACGGTTATTTTAACTCCGATTTTGATGATTTTTTACAGCTACACTCCTTGACCTTATGCGAATACAACCCTATGCGAATAAAATGAACGAACTCGATCTTCAATTTAAAATATTTAGATTACTGGATACCACAAAATCTTATGTTATACTTAATGAAAGTATAAACAAGCTCTTAAGTATTAGTGAATCTATTGTTTTGATGGGATACACATTCTGTGAAACTAGTTTCAACGATCCAATTGTCAAACATGTTTGTATATACTTCGAGATCGCATATGCTAAAATTTCCAAAAAACAAACATTCAGAGATCAAGTAACGGGACAAAACTTTTCAACGGTTATCAACGAAAAATCACTATTTAACGGTTATTTTAACTCTAATTTTAATGATTTTTTTACAGCTACACTCCTTGACCTTATATGAATACAATAAATGAATTCGATCTTCAATTTAAAATATTTACACTAGTGGATACCACAAAATCTTATGTCATGATGATCGATGAAAATTGAGGATTTTGTAAAAGGAATAACATTCAAGCTTTGAGTTCTATTGACAAGGTTTCAACTTTTGAAAAAGGCTTTACAACCTTGAAAACAAAAACTCTTTCATTTTGTATATCCTTGCACATTTAATATTTTGTAATATATTAGTAGTATATGGATGTTTGTTTATTAGGCTCTTATTTTCAAGTGTAGATGTAGTACTTAAACGAAAAATGTATTTTAATGTTTTGAAGTAATATTTATGTGGCAATATGTGGTATGTGAAAATTTAAGAAAAAAAAATACATTTTTCTTAACGAGTCATAACGGGTCATAACGGGTGTGACACGACACGACCCATTAAGATAACAAGTGTTACACGAAAACAACACGAACAAGACAGACACAACCCGTTTGTCAGGTCTACTCACTAGTATCTTCTTATACTTCTCTCTTCTTTATTTCCTCTCCTTCTATCTCTTCTTTCCTTTCTTCTTCCTTTCCCCTTTTCTTTTATTTCCAACGTATGTTTCTCACATCACTCCCTTCCTTTTATTCTTCAATATTTTATAGGCAAAAGTCAAGATCTAACAAACACATGATATGGGTTATTTTAATACATCAATGAGAATTAAAGTCATCAAGTGAATAATAAAAGTTAATCATCTTTCAAAGTCTCCATTCATACTGCTTTTTCAGTGGAAATTCACACTGCTTTTATAACACTCCTTCTTGAATGTCCACAAGTCTTTGGTTAACAGTCTATTAAAAACTTCTCATAAGATGAATAGATGGTCTGAAGAAAAAAAAAATTGTGCTCATGTGGCCAATGTTGCTAGAGCATGTCCAGAGATTTTTGAGGCTGGTGCGACCCAAAAAAATGCACCATAATTTCATATAAGAAAAATGATTAGTTTTCATATGTAAGAATTCGATAAACGTGTTTATTTACTATTTGTGATACATCATATAGTTTGCAAATTGGATCTAAAAATGGTCTACACATTACTCTTTGTTAAATGTTAGACTTGAATTAGAATGAATGTTTAAAAACTTCAACCCATATAGCTACTAGCTAGTAATTAAAAAGAAATTAACAACCAAATAGAAATTAGAAAAAAAAATATGAAAGAATAGTAAAACACATAGCATTTCGGACTTAAGGCTTAAGACCTTTCG